CAAAAAACGGTGAAAGATAACGTACGAAATCACAGGGCAGCACACGGTGCGATCGCGCGACCCTGCCCGTGAGCAATCTCCCAACTCATCTCTGTATCAAATTTGTATCTGTTTGTTTCCGAATGATCTGTAGATGACTAAATCATTTTGAGCAGTTGGATCTATCTAATTTACTTGAACAATTGAATACAATGACGGACGAAAACTTGGCAAGATGTAAAATTCGAAAAGTTAGGAGACAAAGTGTGGTAATACATTTTTTTACTTAATTCTTACAGTATTCTCATACGAAATTGTATCAAACATATACGCAATATATCTCATTTTTAGATTGCCGCACTTGATCTTCTTCGCTCAAAATTGAGCTCTAAAAAAAGAATGCAAGAAGGCGATGATGAATACGATCACAAAATTAAGATACATTGCACTTCGAGTATTAGTACTACTGGAAAAAAGAAAGGCTCACCTGCTTTTGGATATTCTAAAAGTTTAGTTTTACCTGAAATGAGAAAATGCTTATCGAGGCAGGACTGGGAAATGCTTCAAGAATTCTTTCCTTTTCTAGTGGATAACAGGAAAGATATGGAACCAATCATTTGGAGATATGCATTCACAATGTTGCTATACAATCCTAGCAGTAGTCACGATAACGTTAGAGAATTTCTTGAAATGTGCGTTGGTTGTAACCAAATTGAAAGCGATGCGATGTTAAAAAGATTGCTAACATTGAGAGAAGAAACGTGAAAATATACTTTAACACTTTGCCATGTCACCTAAATATGGATGATATGGGTAAACCATGTATTTATTTAATCAATTAAGGATTATTTCCTACTTAAATTAAAGAATGTAGTTTTTTTAAGTTAGTTTAATCTCAGAATCAAACAATATTACAAAATTACCGTTAAAATCTTTATTTTTGTACTGAAGCGTTTTCTACCTAAAATAAGTTAAATCAATGTTAAATATGCCATAATGTTTGTAAGATATGAATACATCCATCTGAATTTGAAAAATCCAATATCTACCAATTAAACCAATTCCTTTATAAATTATTTATTAGACATTTCATGATTTAAGGATAATGTAAATAATTGAGCTAAATACTGTCTTTGTATATAGCTGTATTATACCATACACTTTCCTGTTATCCGTATTGATTATTTGCATTATTCATGATTACAATTAATACTAGCTATTATTAATACAAATATGCTATTTACAACATCTTTCGATTCGACGATCGAGATTATCAATAATATTGCAAATGATATAAGGGTGGCGCGTAAAAACAGGATATTATGTACACGCGATATGATAATGGTGATAACAATGATTTATAATGATATACGAAACATGAAAATTAAAAACAACTACTAGGTAACATGGAAAATACAACTAGAGATCTATACCGAGCGCCCTCGGAATCCGCTGCGTTTCACTGTACACTTTATGTTCACCTTATTACAATCTATCAGCAGTCAGTGACAGCTACCAATTGTACAGCTGTACTGGTTCCGCTAATATAGGCAATATAATTTGTACATTGATTTGTTGAACACTCTGACTACACTAGGGAGCGATGGAACACAAATGAAACACAAGGGCTCAACACAGTGAAGCTAGAAATCTATCGGCGTCGCTACTATGATATGTCGACTGACGATATTTTCCTACTCCTCTTTTGTAACGATGCGAAGACAATGAATGACAAACGATATCAATGATTGAAGTTATGAGAATGACCAGTCGATGGAATAACAATAATAATAAATACGTGTGCGAAGTAAAGTTCACTCGAAGAATTGCTGGTCAATCGAGAGGTAAATGAACACGCAGATCATTCGTCGCTAACTTGACAAGAGTCTTCTTTACTCTGAGAATTGGAAGTCGAGCTGCAGGTTTTCCATGCCAGCATTCTCTCATGAGTTTACCCATTCCAGTTAAGGTCTACAAGGAACAAAATTGTTAAAAAAATCGGTTATAAACTGTTTTGTTTCACATAACCACACTTTTTCTCATTTAACTTACAGAATCGGAATGCCACCTATTAGGCAGTGGTGGCCTGCGTTGATCAAGTGATACTAGTTTACGCATCTCTTCGATGGACGGTTCTTGACTACCATTTGGAAGCCATTCAGAATAGGGTGCAGCATAGTCCAGCGCTACACCGTGACTAATGCAGCGTCGACAAACTTCCCAAAGGATCAATCCAAGACTGTAAATGTCTGCTCTTCTAAAGCTTTCTAAACACTCTATATTCAATCTGTGAAGAACAAAGTATATTAATAACATTTACTTGCAAGAATATATAGAGAAATTTATTACTTAATATAAGGTATACATACATTTGTTCAAGTACTTCTGGGCTCATGTAACGCTTAGTACCTTGGCGAAGATCAACTCTATCGGTGATAAGGCGATCTTGCGTTGCAGCCAAAGCAAAGTCAGCAATAACGCAGCTACCGTTAGTTTTGACGAGAATATTTTTCGATTTCAAATTGCGATGCGCCATCGCTGGCTTTCCTCTTGTCCCGTGAATCTCAGTGTGCAGATAAAGTAAACCGTTGGATATGCTCAGACATATATTTAAAGTTTGATGATGAGTAAGTGGATGCGGTGAGAGATTCAAATGGTCATATAGAGAGCCAAGAGGGTGATAATGAGTAACAAGCCATAACTGGGTGCAGCTGGCACGACTCGTCATGTCACTGCCAACGTATCCCAAGATGTTATCATGTCGAGATGGTAACAGTTGAGAATACACTTCGGTTTCGCGAGACCAGGCCGTTTCATCACGTGAGAAATAGATTTTCACAGCCACGTTTTCACCATGCCATACTCCGCGCCAAACTTCACCACCAAACCCTCCGCCACCACCACTGCCAAGGCATTCAACCAATGCCACTTGCTTTGCTAATGTTCTTTGTACCAACAATGGTAATCCCGATCCTGAACCACTGGTTAAACTTCTGCCATCTAAGTATTCCTGGTAAAATGGAAAAAAAAAGTGATTGTATATCAGATTCAATGAAACTTTACTTAATATTAAACCCTAAACTTCATGTGTCATTTTTTCTACCCTCTAATACATGACTAGGATAGATATGCATCCTGCTTGATTCTCATTGATAATATTTTTCCTATCGGTAGTAACAGGAAATGTTAATATAAATCCCATTGTTTTTTAATAAGTGTATGGTCAGTAGCAAATTAAATTTCATTCAAATGTAGTTGACAAAAACCTCATTTAAAGACCAATGTAGACTGAAAATTGCCAGCTTAAGAGCAAAGTTTCAAAATCTACTGGGGTAGATTTATATCCAATTCATGAGTTCTAAAGTTAATATACCAAACTGCAACTAACTTTAAGTGTGCTGTCACCAGCTGCAGTCGCCCTGAATTCGTGTGGATGATAAGTTGTAGTTGAAGTTGGAGAAGGAGATGTAAAATGAAGTATGGAAGGTTCCATCTCCGAATCCATAAGAAGCTTACTACGTCGCGGTGCAGAAGGATGTTTTCTGCGAGTTCTTCTAACCAACAGACAAAAGAGAACCCCTCCAGCTACGATGCCTAAACCAACCATAGGCCCCAATATTGCTAGGGTCAATTTTGCTGCATAATCTTCTCCGTCTCTACCTAAAAGTTATTATAAACATTAATTTATTCAAGCCTTTTAACACAAGAATTAAACTTCTTTAACCACAATACATACTGCTTGTGTCAGTTTGCAAATAGGGAAATGGTCCACTATTGCAAAAATCAGCTTGACAACATTCAATTCGATACTGTGCACCACTTGTTGCATTCCTCTTTCTTCCGTTACCATCTGTATCACGTGTGGGCAGTTGCTGTTTACTACACATGAAATGTGTTTGATCAGGAAGAGTAGTACATCCTCGACTAACCCTTTCAGTACCATCATATTCACGTATTCTGGATTTCCAGCACTAAATGTGAAAGATCAATGTTAATACAATTGTAACGTAATTAATAGTATGTTTATAATTTTTAAGAACAAATTTTACAGTCAATGCGTCATGACAGACTCCTAAGTGACTGCAGTCAGGTCCTTCACAGGAATGGCATTTAAAACGTCGCTGAGTCTGCACGTTACTACTAAACCTATAATCAAATGGCTCCCGTGTTTCGGGTGGTTCCTCGCTGTCGTGAGATAAGTCATCGTCCAGCAATGCAGTCTTCTGTCTGTCACCTGAAAGATATGATTTAATTAGTCCTTAGTTTTAACACACAACTGTATTTTTAATTAATATAGAAAACTGGAAATTAACTCAAACTCCTTAAACGATGAGTAAACAAGATAATCCACAAATTTTTTTTATACTAAAGAGAAATTAGGTCATGAATTTATTGCTATGAATTGTATCATAAATTCGCTACACTTTTCTTTCATTCTTCAAGCCTTGGTATGATTAAAAATGCCAAGGTTTAATTATACAAGTAATTTGCATACACAGAATAAACAACTATCTCAAAATTATGTAAGAAACTAGCGTTTGTCTTTTGAATCGTATCTGAATTGCAAAAGGATTGAATTACATGATCAGACAGTGAAATCACTATTGTATGCAATATATAATTCTGTACTTTGCCAACAATTAAAGATATACAGTAGCATTATACTGGAAATATAGGAACGTACAATTATCCACAATAAACAAGATACGTTATAAAGTTAGTGTTTTACATCATGCGAGAACTGAATTTGAAACATTAAACATAAAAGACGCTCGCAGATAGTTTATTTAACGATAGGGTAAACTAGGCCATAAAGAAGTAACACTTCGTTTCTACCTGAACACAATTTGAATGTCAACAAGAGCACAAAATGCGTGATAAATATAGCATCCGCCATTTTTGTGCGCGTCAAAACAAGGAATCGCTGCAGTCACATCGTTGCCACTGTCGAATGAGGTTAAGCTAAGAACCGTTAACTTCTCCACGTGCAGTGAACCTTCACAGGAACTGGAAACTGTTCAGAATATTCTAAAAAATTCACGATTGCAGGTGAACATTTGTTTGTGGCGTGCAAGGACATTTAAGAAAATGCGCACGCACATTACACCCTAAACGCACTTTCGACAGAGATGAGTTAGAAAGTTGTTTATGGATCGCTTCGGACGACCACTCTTACTTGAGTTGCCCTCTGTGAAGAATTTGTGCAGCTCATACACTTGACAATTCGTAGAATACATAAACGATTAATTATTCACTACATCTCCACCGTACCCCTAAATCCGAGGTTTGTTGGATCTGGGCACTTATTACGTATTTTTTGCGAGAGCGCTCACTTTTCGCACTTTCATCTCACGTGGATTTATTCGCAGAATTACGTATTCGCTATATGAATGGTCTCGTATTTTCACCACGAAAAACGTTCCGTAATACCGTGAGCTACTCATTTTTCATATTTCGCTCAACTTGCTTTACGTAATAGACTCCCTGGATCCAGTAAATCCGAATTGAAATATCGATCGTGATGTATATCGAATTTTCATATTTATTAATTGATTTATTGATATGCAATTTATTATATGCGAATCCGATAAATCCCAGATTTCGAATACGATGAAGACGTATATACTCTATATTTCGTATAAGGACATTGTCATTAATGTTGGTATTGCTGATTTCCGGAGATCTTGTTTTCATCATTGGTAGAAACAAGTGTTTTTCCACGTGCTCGAAGAGTGTAACTCGTCATGTGTGTATGAATTTGTAAAAAGTTGTAATGATCTCATTGCATGATAAAATAATTCGTATTTTGACAGAATGAAAGTTAAGAAGGTTCAGGCTGAGTGGGTTCCTTTAAAATTGGAAGGACCTATTCTCTCAGAAGGGATAGGTGGATTGATTGGAGTGGAAGAGCTAACACACTATAAGTTGCAAAAAGGTAGTAAATTTTCACGAAGTAATGACAGGAAACGTAAAATTAATCATGTGCAGAAAAATGAGACAGATGTCCACAGCGAGGACGATTTTGAAGAACCAGATTCTAAGAAACGTCACTTGAGTGAATTGAAAAATTTGGAACATGGAGTTAAGAAGAAAAAGAAAAAAAATAATCAGAATGTGAAAAAGAAGCAATTATTACAAAAGTCAGAGGAAGATACCGTAAATCACAATAAAGATACATCCGATGCGGATAAGTTAGAAGTTGCAGATTCTGAGACTAATATCAACGTTTCAGCATGGACCTCTCTTGGCGTTCCACCGATAATCATAAAAGCTTTAGCGGATCAAAATTTTGAAGTACCGACAGCTATTCAGAATTTAACTCTTCCTCCGGCATTATTGGGTCGCAGAGATATTTTAGGTGCTGCAGAGACGGGTAGTGGCAAAACACTAGCATTTGGTATTCCAGTAATTGCAGGGATTTTAGAATTGAAAAAACAACAAAGTGCCGACCATGGGAAAGAAAACGTTGAAATTACTGATACTGCAATTGGTACGTATTGAATATCTTAATACTTATTTACATAATCTTAATTTTAATGCTTTTAAATTGGTTTAGAATCAGATTTTGAAGAAGATGATTCGGATGATTCTTTGTCAGCCGATGAAGGCATTGGATGTGTGAAAGTTATTCATAATGTAAACATTGATGGAATGCAGTCTTCTCCATCTAAACCTTTGTATGCATTAATTTTAACGCCAACAAGAGAACTGGCTATACAAATCAAAAATCATCTCACGAAAGCAGCAAAGTATACCGATATTAAGGTTTGTATATCGTTTAGTCCACAATGTAATAATAATGTGTATATATTTAGATACTGTATAAATGGTCTTTTTTATTATAGATTGCTGTAGTAGTTGGCGGAATGGCTGCTGTAAAACAAGAACGGATCTTAAAAATGGGACCAGAAATAGTTATCGCTACTCCCGGACGTTTATGGGAACTTATGGACAGCGGTGAACCTCACTTAAGTCAAGTGAATGCAATCAGGTAATTACATCTCTCTTTTCTTCAATCAATCATTAATAACGAATGTTGATTATTTATTACAGATATTTAGTAATCGATGAAACAGATAGAATGCTTGAAAAGGGTCACTTTCAAGAGTTGCACAAAGTTTTAGAAAAAGTCAATGCAGACGAGACCCTGTCGAAGCAACGCAGAACGTATGTTTTTTCAGCCACGTTGACAATGGTACATGATATTCCTGAGTACTTGAAAGCGAAAAAGAAAAGGAGCAACAGTAACAAAATTGTCAAGGAGTCACCGGGACTAAAATTGCAAAAAGTAATACACTTATTGAAGATGAACAATCCAAAAGTCGTAGACGTCACCAAGGAATCGGGTAAGTTCGTTTGTACTATATGAATCGATTTAATTTATTTACATCGGATCAATGTGCTATAATATCTTATAGAAGAAATATAAGGATAACGCATCAAGTATTCTTGTTAAAATATAGGAACTGCAGGAAGTCTGACCGAGTGCTGCATATCCTGTCCGATAGATCATAAAGATTATTATATCTACTACTTTTTAAAAAGGCATTCCGGCAGAACGTTGGTATTCTGCAATAGCATCGGTTGCGTCAAAAGATTAGCAGCTCTATTGGGGAAACTCGAGTGCAACCCATTACCTCTGCACGCGAGTATGCAGCAGAGACAACGGCTCAAGAATCTTGAACGGTATTGTTTAAGGGGATGTGACAGTGGCATCCGAAAAGTCAATCGTTCATGAAACTTTTCTTTGTCCTAGCTGTGCTGAGTCGTTTCAAACTTAATAACGTGAATGTGGAGACTATAAGGAAGGTCCTGACCCTCGTAAAATTTCATATTTTATAACAAATTTTAAAAATATCTATGAACTAATTTGGAAAAAGTTGAAATTTCATGAGCTTCGGGACCTTCTCTACACTCTTCATATTTATATTGTAAAGTTTGAAACGATTTGGTACACCCAGTTTGGAGAAAAGTTTCATGGACAAGAATTCTGATGCCAATTTCACATCAACGTAACTCCAAAGGAGTTCTGAGATCCCTAGAATTTAGTGAAATGAGTGAACGTTTAACCAGCAGATCTAAGGTAAAAATTTCTCAGATTTCAGGCAGACGATGACGGTCTCCTGATAGCTACCGATGTTGCTGCCAGAGGCTTGGATATCCCCAGTGTCGAGCACGTGATACACTATCAAGTCCCAAGAACGTCCGAGGTGCGTATTATTTCTAGGGTGCCACTGAGTACCGCGCAATTTAAGGGCGTTCACGCTCTTCCGTTTCTCTCTGTCCGACCACTTTTGTCATTATTTCCCAGAGCTACGTGCACAGGAGCGGTAGGACTGCGAGAGCGCAGAAGGAAGGAATAACGGTCCTGATAATAGAACCCTCGGAAGTCCAGTATTATACGAGGCTATGCAGAACTCTTGGGCGCAGTAAGCTCGACTAGTTTAACAGACCTCTCGAGGACTTTCACGGGCCGATTATACTATCATTTTCCTGCCACTATGTGCTTCTATTGCAGCGGAGGAATTGCCCGTCTTTCCCGTAGTCGACTCTCTGCTGATAGCGATTAAGGAACGCGTTAATCTTGCTAGGGAAATTGATAAGCTTGAGTTACGGTGTCGCAGAGATAACGTTCAGAAAGGATGGCTGAAGAGAGCTGTCGAAAATATGGACATCGTTCTAGATGAGGATCAATTGTAAGTGTGGACTTTCCTAACTTTAAAGAGCTTTGCAGGATCCCCCGTACAGTCGTTTTTATATTTCATATTCGAGTTTTCATCGTTTACAGAGAAACTACTATGGAAACGAAGGAAAGTGCTGATTTGCGAAGGCAGCTAAAGGCTAAAAATCACCAGCTGACCGCACTATTGAGGAAGCCACTATTTCCGAAAGGGTTTTCTGGTAAATATCCGGACTTTAATATCAAGAACACACAGTTAAGTGGAGATCCTCGAAAAGCAGTGGATGTGATGAAGCAAGAGATTGAGATAAATCCTAAGAGGAGGAAGCTACGCTCTGACGTGTCTTTGAAGAAGAAGAGGATGGAAAAGATGAAAAAGAAAAAGGACGCTCGCCGCAAGAAGAAGAATGTTTCCGATAAGAAGAAAGACGTCCATAACAATAAGAAAGACACTTCCAACAACAAAAGGAAAGACGTTCCGAATAAAAAGAGAGACGTTTTCAATAAGAAAAGGAATACTCCTGACAAAAGGAAACGTCCCAAGGCGAAAAAGAAGGGATAGGGCATCGACACATTTATTTAATCAAAATCTTTATGATGGTTGGAAAGTGATTTCCTCGCTTGGGTGATATTGTAAATGAATATCATGGCCCAAATAAGCGAATGTGTTTACTCTACGCTTGAATTACATTAAGATCCTTACGCACGTCTAATTCGTAACTATTTCCGCCGTTAGTACGTATAGTGAGAATATGTACAAACAAGTAATATTTTCCTTTCTACAGAAGTTTAGGACACAGCGATATCTACCTATAATACACGCCTCGAGAAAATTTCCACTTCTCGAAGCACTCAATCGAGCACAGCCCTCTTTATATCCACGAAGCGTACGAAGTTCCAAATCCCGGTCGCATTTTCGAAACATCCGACGCAGATTTTACACAAAATATTATCCAATCTCTCTACCATTATTGTCGAAAAAATGACATAAAGGTCTACCTGAACATCGATAGAATGTTTCGAGCGAAAACTGTCCGGTGCAATTTGCAAGACTCCTATTGCGGCACTCTCTTAATACAATACGCCATTACAATAAAAAAATGGCGAATTATAGAACTATATCGAATTCCGGAGGACGTGGTTAACGTTGTTGGTTAACGCGGAGGAGCTCCGAAAATGGAGAAAGGAGCGTGCACCAATATGGCTCAAAATATCGTATTATAAATGACTTCGTCCTCCGTAGTGATGATCGAGTCGATCTGATGACTGGATATAACGGAGTCGTACCTCTCCTCGTTAATCATATTTCCTTGCGTATAAGAATCCCCGTGTCTTACGATGATCTTAATCCTAGTCATGACGTGACTACCGGGACACTTCTGAACACTTTGTCCTACGGCGTTCTCGCAGATCTCCGCGTAAATGCCCTCGGTCTTCGCCGGCGTGAATTTTGGAGAAGGTGGTAAAGGCGTCAGACTGTCCCTGACTCTTGAATAATTGGGCTGAAGTTCGACGTTTGCAGGAACTTCGAGAACGCTAGTAGAGACCGATCTTTGAACCGGCGGTTTTGACGAGTTGGCATGACTAGTCTGCGACGTGGATTCTGGTTCTAAGCTGGAATATCTTTCGCGCGATTTCATCGCGATTTCCGGCCTGACTGCGAAGGTGAAGGAGGCGGACTTCTTTGCTGGATTGCGACTTCGGCCAGCCTGAGTGAATTTTGAGATCTTGTCCAGGAAACCGCTCCCTGAGTTCTGTCTCGTTTGACTTCTCTCTCTGGAAGTAGTCTTCTTCAGATGCTCCAAGCCGTCCCTAAGACTCTGCAGAATAGGTTTCGTTTCGTGTCTCGGTTTAATCTTCTTCAGATGCATCTCTTTCAGCTCCTCGGTGCTGGGCTGCATCTTCAAAGGTGCTACTCTTGGCTCGGTCGCACGGTCCCCGACTGCTCGACTAGGGATTTAAAAAACTCGGTTAAGATTCCATAATAGTAACGATCAAAGCGCATCGATATTGAAAGTTCGCATTTTGTAAAAAAACTACCAATGTAAATGTTTGTAAGGAATTAAGGTGAAGTGTAACTCGCAGAGAAATTGGCTTGACGTCGGTAAACAAGATTCTTTTAAATACCTACGTTGTCGACGTTCGTATTCATATCGACAGCCGTGTCGTATTATATTGAGTATTGTACCAAATGACGTACTCCATATGTCGTTTTCGTACAATAATTATAAAGAAATCTATGTAAAACTCCCAGAAATCGGGATTCGTGATTTTAGCGTCAACTAAATTGATTTTCCGAGACCTCGCGTTACCTTCATTTTAGTACAGAAACGCATAAGACACTCTTTTTGCCTTCTTCCTGTTCAAACGCGAGTTTCTCGATTACTAGTGTTCTAAATTGTTGCACAATTGTCCTGACATCTTCGTTTCGTAAATCAGAGACTTCAATGCTTGTATGTCGATCGAAATATGTGAGCTCGACGCCATTTTGGTTCTGGTCAAGTCTAAGTCAAAGAATTTTATTGGAAAATCCACATTTCGAAAGTGCCAGGGGAATTCTTAGGTATTCGCGAGTCATGCGTCAAAGTTTCGGACAATTCAATCCAATATCCTTAAAAAAAAAAGTATGTCATTCGAATCAATTGATGCGAGGGGGACACTTCACCTTAATAATGTATGTCAAAAACTGTTACACTTCACAATGCGATTTAAACGCCGAAGAAGATAATAACATTGGCAAGACGCTTATTAAAAATGAAAACATGAAAAGGGAGAAGGCAACATTCCGGAAAGTTAAGAATCGCACGTTGACGTTACTGAAGCGTTAAAAGGAAAACACTTATTACGAGGGTTTTTGTATTTTTGTATTTTCCTTTTTTTTTTCCATTTGCTCAAAGTGCTCGATATTAAAGTCGCTTCGGAAGTCCGAGATTTGCTCGTCTGAGAAATGTTTTCCGGCTAACGTTCTGGAAAATTGCCCTTCATTTTTCCGAGTCGATTCGAGTTACCTGCACGCGGACAATAATCGTTGCATCTTCGGCGAGGCCAGCAATCTCGCCTCCGAGGGATATCCAAGTCGGGCTCTTCTGACCCTGGGAGCACCATTTCCGGAGACCACGAGTTCCAGCATTTCCGGATTGTGGACCGGTCTTTCCGGGACGATACAGCCCAACACTATTGGCCCACGCGTTGAAGTCTCCAGCTGCATAAGGCCTCCGTACTCTCTAGGTAAAGGCACCGGAAGCGGTCCCGCTATTAATTTCACCTGTAAATTAAGTCCCATTAGTCGTTTTATCAGCATCACGGTAAAGGGGACGGTATTTCCTTTTCCTGTGAATTCTTCGCGGACCCAAGTTCTGGTGACTTTACATAATAATTTTCCACGTGAACGAAAATTGTCAAATCAATCACTGCTTTTACAAGCAATACCTTCTTGCCTTTTCACCGATAGGGTCTGTCTATAAAACACTACACGTCCAAATGGAATTTTGCTAAATGTTTGATTCACCGAAATTACCGCCAATCAGCCAAGCAGAAATACTGACGCCATTTCATGTTGAAACGTAACAGTCGACTGGTTGGAATTACAACCATCATCGAGAATAATCGGTTTCTAATTCTTTAAAAGTTTAGAAAAAATGGAACGTATGTCTGCATCCTGGCTTTCTATGTATATGCATGTAAATATTGAGTAATTTATTATTTATGCTGCGAAGACGATGGAAAAGTCGAATGTACCCGTGTTCGAAAAGCCGTTATTAATGGGATGCTTAATAAAAGGAAATATTTAAGGTGGTGATCCGCAACTGGGACGTGTTCGACCACTGGTACACTTGCCTTAATCCGAAGATCCAAATGTGTTAGTAATTTCCAAACAAGAAATTATTGCAAGGATCTCAATGTCATGTTTCAATGCGTAGGATGCAACATGTTAAACATTAGAATAATCGATAACGTACTCTGAGAGGTAGCGGCCTTTTGGCAAGATGGTGGACCCTGTAAAGGACCGCGTCACTTCCGGTATCTCCGCATCCATTATGGCAGATCGCATAAAACTCGCCCCTGGCTGTCAACGGGGCGAAGACTTCTCTTCCATGACAATCCAAACATTGCGCGTACTGATCTCTCTCCGAGGAACTGCCAGACAATCCGAAGGACATCGACGTGTACTTCCTGGTATCCTGGAAGACCGCTATGAGACGAAGAACCTCACCAGCTCTTATGGTTGTCTTCGTGTAATGGGCGCGAAGATTCCCATTTTCTGAAACATCCACCCGGTCAAGAATTACCAGATTATCGGCCCACCGGTATCGACCGATACCCGATCCGAGTAAATTAGCATAATTGAATGATGGTTCCTTTATGAGTCACATTATGGCCTGAAGTACCTACCCAGCGTCTCGCTGGGAGCAAACTCGACGTCCATTTATCGTGAAATAAGAACAACCGACTATAAAATGAAACACTGAAAAGTAATGAAATTATAATTATATTGAAAACCAACGCGAAATCTTTATCATATACTTGCTACTATAGATGTCGAAATATTTATTGCTTGGGCAGTTTCAAGCCGGCGTAAAAAATGATACGCAAGGTAACAATATAAAATTGACGATTGAAAACACTGTTACACTTCGTTTCTTTTTTTTTTCTTTTGGGTCGACTTTTAACTGCCCAAGCAATAAGTACTTAAAAATTTACAGTAATTAGTAGATAAGTAGGTTGCATACAATCCAGATTTCGTCCTGGTACTTAATTCAATTATTTCTTACTATTCAGTGTTTCTTTTTTCAAGTCACTTTTTTATTAAGCAGTCTTTATTTCTCAATTCTCAGTTCTTGCTTCTTTCGTTAAGGTTTTGAAATTGTAATTATATAAAAGAAATCGGTTAAAAAAAAAACCAATCACAGTGCGGTTACCGTCAACTGTTTATGATTTCCGCTGTCTACCTTCGGATTTTATGATCGGATCGTGACGAAATTTAAATGGGACCACCTCGAAAGTGCCCCGTTTTAAAGGAAAAGGAATCATGAAAATCGACGAACCCGGGAAAAAGTTATGCCTGAACATACACTGGGAGACATCAATGCCCTCCTGTCCTGCACAGGCGATGCCGTATCTGCAGGGGAGGCATTCATATCCGCCACTGTACTCTGGGAGACATCAATGCCCTCCAATCCTGCACAGGCGATGCCGTATCTGCAGGGGAGGCATTCATGTCCGCCATTATACGTTAAAAATTGGAAGTAATTCGAATTGAGAGCCCTTTTTTGAAGTCGGTTTAAAAAAGGCTCTGTACGTGTACTTGAGGGGACACGTAAAGGAAGAAGAAGCACCGCGTGGCGTGCACTCGGGACCAGCGGAAAGAAATCCCGGAATGAAATGCAACCGAGTTTCTTTACGGAAATGGCACCATGCTGGATGGCACGCATGATCGCGTGTGCGATGTACTTTTGCGCGCGTTTCTCGAGGTGCAACGACTTTCGCGTTACTTGATCTTTATGCATTCGGGTCAAGAACACGGCTTCGCCTGACATTTCAATCTGGTGCACTTATACGCGTTAACCCGCGCGGTAGGTATGCCAGGTTAATAACCGACTTCTCGACCCTAAACAAACGCGAACAATGTCAATTCTCGCAGAACAGCTTCCGTGGTTTATAACCAGACATGTAAAATCTTATAAAACAGGACTCTTGACTTACCCATTTTCGAATGAGTGAGCGTGTAAGCTCTCAAGGGTGCTGCTAGCAGGAAAGCTGGGACTCCCGCTCGGACCAGCGTCTCCACCCTCCGATATACTCTCGCACTGCCTGCAGTGTTATTTCCAGAGATCACTGAAAACCATCCTGAAATTGACATAAAAGTATATATTAACCTTTTTCTTCTCTTGGTAATTCCGAAATTTAAGAATATTCGTGCTCATAAATTGTCTGGTTGTTAAGAGATTTGGTAGAGTTTCGAGCCAAATACAGTCGGGTGAGAAGCTTGTAGTGAACTCTGTAAACCATACCGAAATTTACATAAAAGTATATATTAAATTTTTTCCTCTCTTGGCAATTTCGAAATTTAAAAATATTTGTGCTTATAAATTATCTCGTTATTAAGAAACTTGGTAGAGTTTCGAGCCAAATACATACGAGCGAGAAACTTGTAGTGAACTGAAGAGATCACTGAAAATCATTCTGAAATTTACATAGCAGGTCTATTATTTTCTTGTGTTGCAACGTCTTTTTTGCAAGTATGGCATGTGATAAAGAGTAGCCGAAGATATATAATAAATCTTCTTACTTTACTTGTCCATAATTTCTAAATTACATTTTAATATAAAAATGTGTGAAAGTTCGGCTAATAGAGCAGTATATTACAACGTATAATATTTTATTTCCCTAAATTTGCATTGCATATGTATATTATTTATGTTAATTTTATTCCGTTTCTTAATTTATGATAACGTAGTCGTGTTTTTGCAGCCGTTGTTACCAACCATTGACTAACTTCACTGGCTAAGGTTCCGCAATTTTGGGGAACATTTCCAACCATTATCCCTGATGAAGGCAGTTAAACGGAAATTATGGACGGACCGTTCGAATGGTAGACTCACTCATAAATAGATGGAGCTAACTGGTTGAGAGATTTGTAGCGAAGAATTGAGTAAAATACGGTATCGTTAAGGAGCAAAGTGTTCCACGTAGAGAGACGTTAAGGTACGAGTGATTTATACGTCACTTAACACCTTCATGCACGCTGCACTTCAATTGCTACCAGATCCTTCAGCAATTTCTGACTGTTCACACGCGTGTAATTAGAAAAGCGGAAAGAGTTGACACGCGAGGAAGTAGATGATTGAGATGGTACTGTACATAAGCACTTCAACGTAGCCTAAGTAACTACGACAAATTAGATGGGATTTGTCAAGAAATTGTAGAGAAAACATTTGCACAGAATCCTCCGGAAACTGTTATCATTTTAATCACGGACTTGCTTCGGTCTACAACCGAATCAACGAAATATGGACACCTTAATCAGTAATAAGTTATATTAACAATAAATTGTTAAGGACCATTCCACAATTTATAGTGGACATATATTTCATTGATAATGCTCGATGATTTTCTTTCTTGTACGGGGGCTGTTGAGTACGAGAAAAGACATTATCATTTATTCATTACTATCCCTGCTTTTCATCATTTCCCGAATGATGGTAGGTTTTCGTTTATCAGGATTATATCTTGGACGTTTCCCTTCGAGCATTCCAGCCTTAGGGTTTGCGAACAGGTAGAATAAAATATCCTTCGCCCGGTCTTCCCTAGCATTTGGCCGTTTGTCACAGGTTATTAGTTATTAGTTATCACGCGGGCACGCGCGGGCGATCTCATGCAAATTGCACCCAAGTCGTCTTTGCATATCCGATAACATCTTACCGAGATTTATAAAGATTATGCTAATGAGCCGTGATAATCGTATCCCGCGAGAGTCCTGCATAAGTAACATCGCTGTAATCTCTCTATCTGCAAGATGCTGGAAATCCGAGGGAACATTGTATCGGTTAAGGATAACCAATGATTATACCTAGATCCTGCTCGAAAAGGCCCCGACTCCTTTTTCCACGGGTTTCCGTGTATTTATTCTTAAATTACAGGTTGCCAGAGATTCCTAGACCGATAGTACGTAGATCGATCAATTACGCGCAAAAATATTGCAGCACTTTTCCACGGTTATGGGCGGCGAGATCGGATTGAAAATGAGGAACACCGAGGGAAGTTGAAATTCATGGTGCGTGGAAAACGAAAAGAAAAATGACAGGACTTTCCCTGTCGCCGATAGGTGATCGATTATCGATATGCCTCGATGGCATTTCCCTGTTTGCACTTTCAATGACTCAAAGTATCACTTCTCTCACATACTGAATTATAGAAATGTAGTTCCATCCTCCTTTAGTAATCCTAGGATAATATAGTACGTTTCAATTTGTATCAATAGACCAGAACAGCGTTAAGATTTTCACCGATCCCTGGGTACTTGATTTTCACGATATGAATTCTTCGCAACACAAAACCACCTGCACAAATTTCATGGGCTCTAAGAGTTGACTGAAACGTCATCTCCGACATAAATTTAGACAGTGATGAAATTTCATTTTTCATACAAAATTTAATTACTTATCATGGACTGGAACCAACATGGCGTGGCCCGGGCACGTGTTCGACGTTTTACGCTTCTTCGAGGCTTAGAATCGAAAATGAAGAGTTTCAAGAGCTAGCTCGAACAATTTAGAATACCGTAGAAATGAAATATTACAGAGTCAGATAGGAAAATGTGGTAAATACTTTCACCAACGATTGCAAGAGCAATGCTGGCTTGTCCTGCGGCTAACACGCGTTATTAGAGAAAAAATGAAGTTGCCGCTAAACGTCACAGATCGCTACGTTGGTTCGTCAAGACATAAACAGTCATGAATTCATGGGATTTCGGCAGTTTTACATAGATCTTTTTATCATTACTTTACCGAAATGACATATAGAACCCTTCAGTTCGTATAATTCTCAACGTAGACTGTAAAAAACCTTGATATAAATATAAATGTCGGCAATGGGACGCGCCAGCTTATGTTCCCACTTGAGTATTCAAAACGACATTACCTCCAAAAAGGGCATAGATGAATTTCACTTCATCGACGTCGATTCAATATCTTAACGCCTTTCACATCCTCTTAATGCTTCATGAAACCTCCATGACGCGTATTGCCGCGAAGACGAAGTGCGTTCTTTTTTGTTTTTAATGCACACCAGAAGTGCACGCACTCGAAGGTGCATGCACTTCTGGTGTGCATTAAACGCGCGAATACTGGCCAGTGCCCAGTACGAGCTAATACACACGGTGGGATAATGAACCGCCTAACCGCTGACACAATATCCGCTACTTAGGTTTAACGTGCTAGTTTTATCTAAACGACCATTGCAATTTGCACATTTATAGGCCCTCCTCTGTACAGGCCAGAACAGCCGTAAAGGTGGATGCCGCGCCAAACGCAAAATCGCACGGAAGAGCGGGCCCGATCGCATCGGGGTTATTAAACACATCTCTTCGGCCGCGAGATGTGCTTACTTCGAGGATTAAATTCGTACTTAATTCTCGGACAAGTGCCACTAAAGGACCAGGCGATACCGTACAGGCTCTGGCCGAGTCTTTTTGTCGACCGCTGGTGGTCGAGAGACGACGGGACCAACCACGGAGGTTGTCATAGTTGGGCTTCCTCGAAAAAGATTTTCAGAAGAAGCCGACTCGAATAGCTACCCCCAGAGAAAGAGAATTCTTGAAATTTATTTATAAACTCCCAAGAATAAAGAAAAATCGTCGCGGGTCTGCCAAGTGCTTTGGAAGTGAATCTTCTAATTTAACGAAAATGATAAGATATCGTTAATTGTTCCTAATTGCTATTTAATAAAATGCGCGCACGCCTGCGGTGTCGATGGATTTTTCCGTGGTTATTTTCATTTCTTATTTATATTATTTCAGTTTCATTTATCATGCCAGGGAGTAACTTAGAGAATAACGCGTTAACGTTATTAGAAGCACTACGCAAATTGGAGTAATACTGAAACGCGAGGGTAAATAGTAAATGGATATAAAAATAACGTTTCACTTTCTGAAACGGGTCTATTCCGTAATACGCGAGTTTATGTGTATTATCGTGTCATCAGAAGTTTTCACTTCTATACGAAGATCGTGAGAAATCATCATCCATATCGGGTAGGATGAAAAGATTAGGTCGAAGGGATGCATCGATGCTCAGACACTTTAGGTATGAGTATTTTTGTTAGATCGAGAACTGGCTTTAATGGGAGTAATTACAAATCGTAATTTTAATACCGACTTCTTTTCCAGCTTGCGGTTAGGGCGAAATCCAAGGTTTAAACAAACGGAAAGATATACCTTGCGAGGCGGCGGTTTTTCGCATCCTTGGAAGGAGATTTCTAACGTTCCATGTTCCCAAGAAAAAGGGCCGAGCTCTCCCACCGAGAGATGCCGACCGATCGAGGATCGAGATGGAAGAAACAATCCTAGTGATCAGGACTCCTCGTAAAATGAGAGTTTCGCTTGGAAGTATCCTCCCTCGGCCATCGGCGGTCGAGTGTGGAGGTGATTCCGGTTAAAAATGATCGGGCCGATCTTTCTCCCGAGACACAGTACCCGAGTGGTCGGGTGATCGAAGGTCGGCTGGTTCTTCTGGATCTCGCTAATTGATTTAAGAATGCCGCCAGGCGATGCGAACGATCCTCGGGATCCTCCCCGAAAAAGTGCGATCGGTGCCCGAGGAATGTCCCGCCGATTCAGGACCGATTCGTGACGCAATGTCGGCACTTTTCGGGGCTAAGATCCCTCGAGAGATCCTTCGCAAATTGCCCAGGGATCCGTGTGTGTGAGTCCTGTCTACGAGGGGTTCTAAACCTCCAAAACCCCTAAAAAGGGACATCCGAGTCTTGACGTTTATCCCCACTCGTATCAAAGTTAGACATTTTAAGTATGTTTTTTAAGAACCGCATCGATAATCATTTTGATATCCTACGTGCATTTATTTATTAATATCAATCTAAATAATTACTCAAGGAACCGCGGGTGTGTTCTGTCTACCAAGCGATCTAAACCTCCGAAACCCCTAAAAAGGACACCCGAGTCTTGGCGTTTATCCCCACCCGTTTCAGAGTTAGACATTTTAAGGATGTCCGCGTGTTTTTTAAGAACCGTATCCCAAATCAATTTTGATATCCGACGTGCATTTATTTATGATTATCAATCGATATAATTACTAATCCGTGTGTGCGAGTCCTGTCTACGAGGGGTTCTAAACCTCCGAAACCCCTAAAAAGGGACACTCGAGTCTTGGCGTTTATCCCCACTCGTGTCAAAGTTAGACATTTTAAGGATGTCCGCGTGTTTTTTAAAAACCGTATCCAAAATCAATTTTGATATCCGACATGCATTTATTTATTATTATCAATCGATATAATTGCTAATCCCTGTGTGCGAGTCCTGTCTATGAGGGGTTCTAAACCTCCGAAATCCCTAAAAAGGGACACTCGAGTCTTTGCGTTTATCCCCACTCGTTTCAGAGTTAGACATTTTAAGGATGTCCGCGTGTTTTTTAAGAACCGTATCCCAAATCAATTTTGATATCCGACGTGCATTTATTTATTATTATCAATGAATATAATTTCTCGAAGATCCACCCGAGTCTAGGCGATTATCCGCGACCGCTTTTAAGATTAGAAATTTGAAGGATATCCTTGTGTTTTAAGAACCGCATCGATAATCCATTTACACGTCCAACGTGGATTAATTAATTATAATGAATTAATATAGACTATCATGCCTCGAGATAATACAGACTTCGGGTAACATGTATCAAGCGAAAAATGAAAGAAAGCCAGAAGAACCCGTCCAGGACTTCCGCGCGAGAAAATCGTAGTCCGGAAGCCATTCCTAGTCGTTTATTCCGCAAATAAGGCAAGAAAACCTGATAGAAGAAAAGCATTCCTGTTATCCACCGTGCAATTAGTCGACGACTGTGAAACTTTACTGCCCCCTGACAGCAGTTCGAGCATTTTATTCGGCCAGTTTGTTTGGCCGGCGTAAAACTTAATCGCCGTAACGGAAGGCGCGCCTCCTCGCAGTAACCGAGATACGCACACGGCACCGGATACGAAGGCGACTTTGGAGAGACTAAAATGTCCCCTGATAAAACGGAGCACCGAGGCCACGCGAAGTGGCCGCGCTATCGAGTGATCGTCCAATACCTAGGCAATAGGGGGAAAAAAAAGGAAGGATTCCTAGCCACCGCAGCGGCTAGAAATTCGTAGTTAGAATAGCGATGCTATCTCCGCACGGGGAATAGTCTCCCCCGGCGTAAGAGGATACGTTTTATCCTCAGAAATACGATTATCGGTACGTTTCCGCTAATCGCGCCGAGTAAGTGGAATGTTCCGCCGATCGGGCGGAGTGGTCTTCCGTGTTTCTAAAACGGCCCCCCGGAGCGGGGTTAACCCTTTGAACACGGAGCCATTTCGACATATGGGCGAAATTCGTCTGACCGTGCAGGCAATATTGGACCAAACGTCGGGCGCCTTCAGGCGCTCTTAGTGGCCAAAGGGTTAAAGGGGCCCATACCTATTGTCAGATGGAAAATACACATTTTTCTGACAGGTACAGGTGGGTACTGTTATTAAGAAAAATTGCCCTGACCGTTTAAAGCC